TTGCAAACAATTCGCTGATTACAAATTCTGTTACAAAACACTTGATATGGTCCAGCCGCAGCAGCTCGGCAACCCCAACTTCCACTTGCTTGATATGCGTGTGGGTGATAAATCGAATTTGTAAATTCATATTCAGTGCTACGTCAGTTTAAAGAGCTTGAATAGCTGCAAAATTGTGCCCCGATCTGCCGTTCAAGAGTTATGGCCTAAAATGTGCCCTTGCAAGGAAAATGTTTTTTGTTGCACGCTGTCATTTGTTGGCATCACTGTATTTGAATGTGAGCAGACCGTGCGCAACTTGTCGTATCATGGAAACACGCGAAAGTGTGCAGAAGTGTGCACACAAAGTCCAAAAAATCACGTTTTTGAGCCATGTATTGGGCTGCACGGCGGCGGGCCGCCGTCGTGCAGCAGGACTTTTGCCAGCACCCTCGTGACGTTGCAGATATGTGGCTTGATTATTGTAGTTGACGTTGATTTAGTGACTTTGGCAAGTTTGAGTCGTGTCAAGAATTCAGGTAGGATTCAGTACTAGGCAGTAGCGGAACGTGAGTGGTAGTCTTTGCCGGTTTCTGAGGGTATCCTGGATTTGGTGTGCAGCGCCGTGGAAATGGCTTGCTGTGGACGTCCCAGGACTGGATGTTGTATCAAAGGTACGACCTCGTGGCACGTGCTAAACCTAAAATTGTTCAAAAGTTGACTTGGGTCTGTGGGAGTCTGTGAGAGAACACCTACTTGTCCCGTTGTGACAGATTCCAGGGCCACGTTGAAGGGCCCTACCCCACCACCCATGGCTGCTTCTGGACTTGTTTTAGGTTTGGGTCCCGCGCACGGACAGAATGGGCACGAAAATGTTAAAAAAATGTGAATGCATTTGTTTGGCTCCTGGGTGGCTCGCACACCGTGGCACTATGCCGGAAATTTGAGTTTTTCCGGCCTGGAAAGCCTGTCAGTGAGGCGCAAGAACTTGTAAATCATGTCCTAAGGGCCAGCATAGTGGCAGGAGTGTGTGGTCAAAATTTCACTCAAATCCATTGAGAAACACCAAAGTAACGGTCAATTGAATGCCATATGAAATTTATGGGTAGGTTGCCCTCTTAACGAATTAAAAAAATCGTTAGAAATTCGTTAACATTCAAAGTCGGTATGTACAAAACGATATGTACACGTACAGTCATTTGTCTGTTTTAGGACGGTGTTCGTTAGAATTTCACATCGCTAATCCACAGAAAGACCAGGCAGGCACAGTGGGTTGGTCAAAGACCATGATTGAGATACAAGAGGTACCTGGTTCAAGTTCTGCCTGGGAGCGATTTTCCAGCCGTGCTGCTACCAACAGTCAACTGGGAACTTGTGGCCATGCACAAGGGGTACATGGATGCAGCTAATGGGGTCGTTCTCGGCACTTGTGCCAGTGGTTGTGAGACTTATCCACTTACCCCCACCGTTAGGCGCTGCATCTGCCGCTAGGATTTACCGGGTGTTAGCGGCCGTCGTGAGTTCCCTTCGGGAACGGACACGATAATTTACTTTTTCTTTTTTTTTATCCACCAAAATCCCCATAAAAAAAGTAAAATAAATTAAAATAGCAATAAATAAAAATTTCACGGTTCGCGTGAGACTCGGCTGGAAGCCGAGTTTTCCGCATCCGCCGTGGGAACGCCACCACCCTCTAGGATCAAAGGCGCAGATGCAGCGCCTGAACGGTGGGAGGTGAGTAGATCAGACCCACCACCAAGTGGTCAAAGACCGAAATCCCATTAGCTGCATCCATGTTACCCTCGTGCCAGGCCACGAGTTCCCAATTAACTGTGGGTCGCAGCACGGCTGGAAAAAATCCTTCCGCTTCCAAGCAGGACTTGAACCTGGTACCCTCTGTTTCTCAATCATGGTCTTAGACCATCCCACTATGCCTGCCTGTTTAAAAAAAAATAGCAATAAAGAGCAATAAAGAGAACAAATCCTGCAATCATCATCACACTACAACGAAGTCATGAAAATTTACCAGAATTAATTTTCTTGTCACATTCATCAGTGGAAAGTCGTGACTGAAGAGTGCTGAACAATGATTAAATATACATTCAATGATGTGCTACGAGAACAAAATACAGTGCCAAAATAGAATGAGGGAAGGTGAGACAATAGAAGTGAAGTGAGAGCTAAGTGCAACGGCGGGTGAGAAACTAATTATAACGCTAAAACTGTTTAGTGAGACAAACAATCATGCTGTGCACCTACGAAAACAATTTTAACGCAACTACATGTTTCTTCTGCTTACAAAGATCAGGCTTATGCAAACGAATACAAACAGCCTCAAGTACTTTCAACTGACTAGCATTCCGTGCACGACAAAGAACAGAAAAACTAAAATCATCATACACCTGCAGACACTTAGGGTGAGACAACAAGTGAAGAAAAACGGCAGACTTCTTACGATCACAATCACCATCTGATTCCTCGTAAAATAAATTATCGTGTCCTTTCCCAAAGGGAACTCACGACGGCTGCTAGCACCCTGTAAACCCTAGCGGCAGATGCAGCGCCTAAGGGTGGGGGCGAGTGGATAAGTCTCACAACCACCCGCACAAGTACTGAGAACGACCCCATTAGCTGCATCCATGTACCCTTTGTGCCTGGCCACAAGTTCCCAGTTGACTGTGGGTAGCAACATGCCTGGGAAAACCGCTCCCAGGCAGGACTTGAACCAGGAACCTCTCGTATCTCAATCATGGTCTTTGACCGACCTACTGTGCATGCCTGCAAAAATCCGCGTACCGACGTTACAATATCTGGTCTTACAGTAATACACTGATACAGCGTACATTTATCTATGAAATTAAAATACTTGTTGGTGATGAGCCAATATATCTTCATGCAAGGATGTACTAGTTAAGAGTAGAGCCCACACGCTCTCTTCAATTTACACTGCAATAATTCAACTCATTTCACTATAATTATTTCAACGTTTCGGCAACTTGGCTTCATCAGCTTCACCATGATGTACAAGCTCTCAAACCAGCCTTGATAAAGGCCAACTCCTCTGTTAGTAAGAGATGTCATGGTGCTACAGTTGAATAATGTTTTTTTGTTTGTTTGTTTGTTTATACCCCAGCTGTAGTCCCATTTACTGATAGTGGATATTATCGCTATTTATAGCTGAAGGCTTATCGCGCTGCTCACACCCGCCTCTTATTGGCAGTGGAGCTGGCCTTTATCAATGCTGGTTGGAGAGCTTGCACATTTCTTTTAAATTTTAAATTTTTATTCTTATTTTACTACGGAATTCCCAACTGGCGTCATCGCCTTCTTACAGAAAACCCTAAGAACGTCTTGATGGATGACCAAAATTCAGCAGGTGAATTAGAAAGGCGGTAAGCAGGTGCCAGTTTATTCCACCGGTCAGCGCCTACATAAGAAATTGCACTGAATCCATAGCGTGTGCTAGCAGGGGGTAAAAAAAGCGGCAGACACCTGACCACGGGTAATGGCAGCAGTGTGAGCACTGTGAGCACGAAGATTAAAGCGATCTTGTAGGAGAGAGCAAGCAAGGCCATTCAGGCAGTGATACACAAATACATAGGTCTCGAAATTGAGGCGTCATTGTTTACCTGATGAAGGCCATTTGCCGAAACGTAATAAATATTGTGAAATGTGTTCAATTATTGCCGTGCTAATGGAAGAGATCGTGTAGGCTCTACCCTTTACTGTTTATGAAACTGCAGAAGCTTCACCACTTTTACTTAATTAAGAGAGCTTGTCTGAGAATACCAAAGTATGCGTGCAAGTAAATCTCTCCGATTTCGCTCAAAATTTGCAGGTAGGTTCCCTTTGGGGTGTGGATCAATTGTGCAAAGCCCTTGAAAAAGTATCTGAAGTGAACCTTGAAATTTGGATACCCCTCAGAAATGGCCGAAATAATTATCACATTATTTTTTGTCTAGAAACGAGTCTCGCCACAGCGTATACGAACAAGCTATGAACAAAACTCCATCAAGCCAACATTGCCTCACCCTTGAAGAGTTCCTGGAGCAGTACCGCTTCGCCACGCCAGGATCCCAGAAGACGAGGTCCATCACACCCTGACGCCACAAATGATCCTCTTGAAAATAGCCAATTTACAAGCGCTGGCAAAACAGCCAGCTACGTCCTCAATTGGCCAGAACTATACACCGGCAGAAAGTAGAACACCTCTTCTAGCGCTGAGGACATGTCCTCCATTTTCTTTTTGGGGTTTTCTTGAAATAAACTTTTTTGAATATTTCCACTCGACCATGCTGAAATACGGCCAAAGTCATACCTGCACAGGAAAGCTTGCCCCTCCGCGACGTCTCCTCAGCAATTTCTACTCCAACACTACTCCCAAGGCCGCAGAACAAAGTGTATTGTTGGCTCCGACAAGGAAAAGCAGTGGTGATCGCTTGTCACTCCAAACGACAAGCTTCTCCTTGCGCCAACTAATAATTTTTTGTGCGACTGTTGATGCATAAGTGACTGAAGTCCTGAGCCCAGTTTTTGAATTTTATTGCAGTTGAAACAATATGGTTAGGACACCATCTCGTTTCCGATCTACAATACTCACACGGCAATGACACAACCAGGTCCTTGTATGGCATTGTAATGTATTGTATTGCATTGTAATGTAGCGTATTGTATTGTTTCACTGGCTCACGGGCCGATTCACAATACAACCTTTGCGATGCGACTTGCTAAACCTGAAACGAGCTGCGACCACGACACACGATTCACAATTTTTCGTGACATCTCTATACAGTGCATGTGCTATGCAAGTGCACTGCAAGTGCATCCATGGTCAAAACTGTACTCTATTTGTGCATGTCGTGCGTTCCACGTCTGCTACGTCTGCGACTGTGCGCGACAGATCCCGACAAAAAGCTGTATCGTGAATCGATATTTTGAGAACTGTCGTTTCATATCTAGTTTGTAGGACTATCATAGTTTGCAAATACATGTGTGAAAAAGGAATTGACCAAAGATCTTACCGAAAATAATGAGGTCCGCAGAGGATGTTGCATCCGGAGCTCTTAAATTCGCTGCAAAGCATGTGTAGCGTCCTAGGTTGGTCGAGTAAGTGACATTGTGGAGAAATAGAACAGATCTTTTTCCTTGACTTCCTCGCTGAGTGATATTGTCGTTGGTGAAGGCTTCTTCGGTGATGGTCACTGCTGCTGATGTAAAGAAAATGGCTCCATTGTACAACCATGTCAGGGTTGGAGCTGGTGCACCACTCGCATCGCATGTGAATGTTGCTGAAGAATACTGGTTTACACGTAGCTGTGCAGGTGGATTTACGATATTGGGAGGCTCTGATGGAACTAGCAAAAAATAAAACAATGCGACTATAAGTAAAGAATATCTCGCAAACAGTCCATTGCTGCATCACTTAAATAGAGTATGGGGAGGGGGGAGGGGGACGGGGATTTGGCGATATTATAGCAATATTTCCCCAGGACCCTTTATCTTTTTCACCACCATCACTAGACTTTGTCCGTGAAACCAGGACCAAATGAGTTAAAACCTTTACTGTCCGGCCATGCATCTATCGAACACCACTGTTCGCTTCATGGAACATTTTTCAAACTACCGTAACTTGGCCAATTCGTGGAAATGCTTCCCAACCTACATTATGGTGAAAACGGTTTGCCACACTCGCTGACTATATAAGATCTGGATACGTTGGTGGACAGTTAGTCATAACTCGTAACATTTTGTCCTCCTCCTTTTTCACCATAAATTGATTGGCTCACCATCTGAGTTGAACCCTACATTATCATAAATACTAAAATATAACACAGAGCGTCGCTCTCTGCGTTGACGATGAAGGCACACTTAAGTCAGAGGTAGAGAAATGCTGATACAGTATAGCTCAAAGTCGACGAATGTCATTTCTCTCGAACGGTCAAAACTTACTGTGTGTGACAGCTGCAAAAATTTAAAAAATGTGCATGGACATCTATACAAAACCTTCGATCATACTCAGAAAATGTACAATGTACATGTATACAAACACATGCTTATGATACTTACTTTGACAAGTCGGGAAATCAGGTGACCAGTGCTGACTTCCGTTGCATGTGATTGTTGCACTGCCAGACATGATATATCCCTTGTGGCATGTTACTGTAACGTTGCTGTACACATGGAATATGTTCTGCGATAGATTTCCATTTGGTACTAGAGGAGGTGTGCAAGGCGGCATATCTAGAAAAAGAAGAAAGTTAATTCTGATACGAATGGGGTGTCTGCCATTATTTCATAGACAAGTGACAGCGAATAAAAACTCTGGCAACAAATGGTTAACATTTCAAGCTTACCATCACTAACAGCAGAACTTGACAATTCAAAATTCGTTTTCGCTACGATGTTGTGACATTGGCGATAACCTGTTTGGAAAGTGTTACCTCTGAACATCGGAGCTCGCGCTTCCTGCCGACGAACTTAACCCTCGACTGACTCATGACTGCGTCTGGAGCACACGAGAAGCCCGTCGAACCTTCCACTCCGGGAATCTGCAAGAAAGCACCACTGCCTGCTCAATACACAGCCTTTCGGGGAAATCACCCCATCAGATGAGCTTGAGTAGGATGAGGAAGATTTTGTATGGAAAGTACCTCTTATTATAGTGCTCTCCAGGTTAACCCTTTGAGGCCCATAGTACGGATATATCCGTACCAGTGTACAGTGCATACTTTTCAAAGCGCAACCTGGCGTAACTCGGCCGTTCCTTGACCAAATCGGACAATCGAAAGGGCTATCGACATTAGAATTGTCTCAGCTATCGGCTCAAAAAAACCTGAAAGTGATCCGAGTTCGGAGAGCGGAGATATGAGACTCAAACTAAATTCGCTCAGCAGAGTCAACTCGAGCGCGTGCATTTTGAACTCGTTTTTAGGGGTTTTCCCTGACTCGCGGCCAACGCAGCTACAGATAGTTCACGTCATCGCAAAGGCATGTTTCTCAGCTCTCCAGTAAAAACAATTGAGCAATCTGCGATGCAATTTGTTGAAATGGCAGAGAATTTGAGTTGGGCGCTCGCAATGCTGGCTTTGGAGCGCCGTATCGCGCTGCGGCGCTGGTTATGTGGATCGAGTGATGTTTTGCTGGCTATCGCTGTGCTCCTCTGGCCAAGAGCTTTCCAGAAAGCCCAAGATCACCAAAATCGGCCAAAGGACACCAAAGTTACGACCAGATAAGTACCCGGGCTCGCGTATGCAGTGCATTTCTTGAAATAATTGTGGACCCTAAAGGGTTAAACCTTTATAGCAACTTACTGAGACACCCTGCATTCAGCACAGAAAATCGTGAGCACCAGGCAACAGCGCGAGTCATTTTCGCACATGGAGTTATGAAAACAAAGCTAAGGGCCATTTGTCATTCGAAACGCTGTCACCCCCAACGATGTAGTCTCCTTTCCGGGCGAGGGATAAAAGTACAAACGAAGATGTTGCGACATCGGCGGTAACTTGCGAAGAAAGTTTCTGCTCTGAACGTCGGAGCTCGAGCCTCCTGGAAATAACTTGAAATTTGACTAACCCACGACTGCGTCTGGAGCACAGGAGAAGCCGCCTGAATCTTTCAACCTGCAAAACTGCAAGAAACACCACAGCCTGCTCAATACACAGTTCGACGGGCTTCTGGTGTGCTCCAGGAGCAGTCGTCAGGCACTCAAGTATCAAGTCATTCAGCCTGTAAGCATTTCTCCACAATTTTGCCAGCTGTGCTGTAGAAGTTAGAGCTGTCAAGGAGGTCAGACAGAGTGATACTGCGGAAAAGGAAAATAAGCGATCCTGCTCCACAGCGTGACACCACGTCCTTCTCTCCAAATACAGGCACTATTTGGGGACACCAAGGCCAGGCAGAGACCAATGTGAAACATCCAGTCCACCTTGACTTCGAGAGTAATACGGAGGCAATTTGTCCGTTGATATTGGGCAGCTGTGTGGAATTTCTGAATACTCTGAGACCATGTGGGTCACCCTTTGCTCTAACAGTGGAAAGAACATGCGATTACCAGCCATTTAGAGTCAATCCTCTGTCAGCAGGGCAATCCGCAGGACGGAGGCAGTTAGCAAATGGCCTGTTAGCACAATTTGGAACAAATCTCCGCAGTACTTGCGCTGACCAAATTATCACATGTGCCTCGTGGGTCAGAGAGAGGTGACGAAGCCAATGTTTGTGTTGGCATCCATCAGGTTCCTTAGATCACCATTGAGCAATTCACTGCAATTGCAGCTACGATCACGAATCTAGCTCATTGTGATTTGCGGGGACCGGGGTACCATTTTTTCTAAGGCTATTTTATTTGGGCCAAACTCCTTTTCTGTCTGTATGATTTGTGGCCTGATGACAGGCAGTCATATGAAGACTGGGTGGGAGGATTGTTGGCCTCAGTGGCTGTTTGCGTTCCCTTAGCGGGCAAGAAGATGTCGGCCCACGATGGGCAGATCGGTGGTCTCGATGGCAAAAGGCTACTTGAAAAACCAGCCGGAAGGGGGGGGGGGGACAAGAATATCTGCCATAAACCGATACTCTTAGACATTGTAGAAGGTTTCGGTGTACTGGTATGCATGGTTCCTGATATCCGACATCAACATTTTTGTACCAGAGAGCGAATACTTACGGACGAAATCACTGTAGGGGCCAAACCCACGCACTGTTGAACCTCTCACACGGAACTTGTACGTAGTGTAGGCTTCCAATCTAGAGATAGTAGTATATACAGAAGTCATTCCAGACTCGACAAGCGCGACATTCACAGTGCCATATGCATTCTGCAGGCGGTGATCGGTTTGACGAACCTGTAAAACAGAGTTAAGGACAAGGGAGAAAATGAACACGAGACGTAATACTTATGCATAGTCATACCCTTTCAGTGGAGGGGTTATAAAATATATTCAACACAATCAGAGCAAAATTGTAGCTGCGACTAAACGTGGCAGCAACTTCGATAATAATAGATTCAGAGCATGCGAGATATGATACATGTACTCATCAAAATTCTCCAATTGGTAATTGTCTGGGCAATCGTCGCAAAAGGCTGGAGAGATTGCATTAACTCATGAGCTTTAATCTCTATCTGGTGTAGCACTGGAATATCGCGACTTCTCCATTAGAAGTTATTAATGACTGATGTAGTCTGCTTCACAGACAATGGGTGAACCGATAGCAAATACTGAAAACTACATGCATTCAAGAATTTAGGAACAATCTTACAAGTACAAGATACCAGTACAGTATAACTGCAGAAACATCTGGTCGGTTGAGCATGGTAGGCCCCACCAGCACCAACTCACCACACGGTAGCCCCATGCGGCTGCAGGTCAGTTGGGGAAAATATTAAAATAATATACAACAACAAAAACAACAACAACTTTACTTTCATTACTGGCTCACCATCCTAGTTTTAAAAATGTGCAAAATAGCGATGTTGCCCTCTAGGACTTTTCCTTTCTTCATCATAACTATATTGGCTCACCATCCGAGTTCAAATAGCGATGTTCTCCTTGCATTCTGTATGTGAGCATGCATTCTCGGATAGGGCTGACACCACTGAAACTGTATCAACTGCTTATGGAAATGACCGCATCTATGCTCTCTCTCTCGTACCCTCGACCCCTCCTCCCCCCCCCCCCCCACCTCCACCCCTCACCCCACCATCACCACACACACATACCCAGATACGCATGAAACGCATACCATTGTGAGGTTGTATTCGATTTCGTATGCAATGATTTTGCCATTCTGTTCTTTGCATGGAATTGGTAACCAGGAAATGACCGCACTGTCAGGGGCGAGTATCTGAACTGACACATTTTGCGGTGGAGCAGCTGGGTCTGTGCAAAGCAAACAGACAAATATACAAGAAATTTTGTTTTCAGTAATGTCTTGTTGACTTTAAGTGAAGACATATTACATAACTGCAACTTGATTTATTCTGTAAGGCAGGCAACTTTGGCTATGATATCTTGACCACCTTCGCATCATACCAATTTTGGAGGAGACAGACTAAGCCGATAATGTCAATTTATATATGTTTTTTATCTTCTCTTTCCCATTTCTGTAGCATTTTCAGATCATAAGACTATTATTCATAGTATAACCCCTTGGCCGGCACAGTCCATGGTGATTCCGAAACTGGAATGATGGTAGGTGGGAGGAGTGCACTCCGCCTGACCAGCAGAGCTCTTGCAGCACTTACTACTCCTTTGTTGTCATTCTATTTGTCTTTGCCTCTTTCAGGTCCCTCATTATTGTGTAAAGTATAATAGTATAAAACTTAAAATAAATAACAGTCTCTAGTCAAGTGACATGTCATGCTGAGAAATATAAGGATTGTCGCAAAACTTAGACCATCGCCAAAATAACACATGCTAAAGATGACCTAAGGACCACCACAGACGTTTACAGGACCCAAGCAAAGGAGGTATATGGGTACGTACTTTGTTCCTTAGTGATCACAGAAAGCTGGGTACTGTAGTCTCCAGTTCCGATACTGTTAGTAGCACGAATGCGAACAGTATAGTTCTGGCTTGGCTCTACTCCAATTGTTACCTTCCGTAAAGAGGGATGAACTTGGGTTAGGTTAGTAATGGTCTGACTCAAACAGTCAGTATAAGAAAACCTGGAGTGAGAAGATCACATTAACATGAAGGTGCCTTACATGAAGCAACATAAACATCTATGATATTCTCCCGTCAATAATACCTGCAACGTGTGTTAATGAAAGGTTGCTCTGTCCACGGAGTACTCAACACCAGGTAGACAGACTCTCCTTGCATGGATGGTGAAACAGGATATGGTCACAGTCATATTTCCCGGTGTAGAAGTTTCAACCAGATTGTTTCAATGCCAGTTATGGGGCGCGACTTACATTCGAGCATGATTTACTATGCATGAACTTCAAAGTAAATGAGTTGAACAATATGACAGAGATTTCGTAATTGTTCCTCCTACCTGCACGGATCTTAACGCATCTTGCCTTGCTAGTTTTGTGTACGCGTACAGTATCTGTATGATGTATTTTTCCGTAAATCAGATCCAAGCCCAAGCGTGCAACTAGCCCGAAGTAGAATGTACTGGTAAGCGGTTCCAGTGATAACAGCTCCTTAATTAAACAACGTTAGTTAGTTAGATGCATACAGGAACAATTACAACTGCATGAATAGAACATTGGTGTTGATGCACTGAACACACGGATTCACATGGCCTCTCATTCCTATCAGCAGATCATCCAAATAGTGAAGAGCTGTGTTCCAGTTTTCCCTTCACCACGCATTCAAATACCAGCATACACCATACCAAATTAAACAATCTTCTACTTGAAGTTAATTAAATTAAAATAGAAGAAATCACAGACATGCAATTATCCACGACTGTAAAGAGATATTATTCAGAGAGCCTGTCTGAGAAAACCAGAACATATGTGCAAGTCGATCTCTCAGATTTCGCCCAAATTTCGCAGGTAGGTTTGCTTTGGGGTGTAGATCGACATTCCAAAGCCCGCGCAAAATCTTTTGAAGGGAACCATGAAATTGGCATACCCCTCAATATTGGCCCAATATTGGCACGATTTATGGGTCTACAAACGAGCCACGGCACAGCGTACAAGAACAAGCTACGAACAAAACTCCATCAAGCCAACATTACCTCACCTTAGAAGAGTTCTTGGGGCAGCTCCACTTAGCCACGCCAGCATCCCAGAAGACGAAGGCAATCATCCCTTGACGCCACAAATGATCATCTTAAAAATAGTCAAATTAACAGCGCTGATAAAACAGCGAGCTACGTCCTCAATTAGCAAACACTATACACCGGCAGATAGTAGATCACCTCTTCTAGCACTGAGGACATGTCCCCCATCATCCTTTTTGCAAGAAGAAGCTTGTCGTTTGGAGTGACAAGTGATCACCGCTGCGTTTCCTTGTCAGAGTCAACAATACATTTTGTTCTGCAGCGTTGGGAGTGGTGTTGGAGTAGAAATTGCTGACTAGATGTCGCGGAGGGGCGAGCTTACCTGCGCAGGTATGAGTTTGGACGTATTTCAGAATGGTCGAGTGGAAAAATTCAAAATTGTGTATTTCAAGAAAACCCAAAAAGGATGATGGGGACATGTCCTCAGGGTTAGAAGAGGTGTTCTACTATCTGCCGGTGTATAGTGTTTGCTAATTGAGGACGTAGCTCGCTGTTTTATCAGCGCTTGTAATTTGGCTATTTTCAAGACGATCATTTGTGGCGTCAAGGGATGATTGCCCTCGTCTTCTGGGATGTTGGCGTGGCTAAGTGATGCTGCCGCAAGAACTCTTCTAAGGTGAGGTAATGTTGGCTTGATGGAGTTTTTTTCGTAGCTTGTTCTTGTACGCTGTGCCGTGGCTCGTTTGTAGACCCATAAATCGTGCCAATATTGGGCCAATATTGAGGGGTATGCCAATTTCATGGCTCCCTTCAAACGATTTTGCGCGGGCTTTGGAATGTCGATCTACACCCCAAAGCAAACCTACCTGCAAAATTTGCGCAAAATCTGAGAGATCGACTTGCACATATGTTCTGGTTTTCTCAGACATGCTCTCTTAAGTCAGACAGTTCGATAACAGGTCACGAAACTGACAGGATACTGCGACATTCACGACCTAAGATCTAGCCCCAACACATATCCAGTGCGCACACCAACAGCCTTCCATCTTGGAAGGTTCAAGGTTCTGGTAGGACCAATGAGGGGTAGGTGAGTGCATCGAAAATGTGCACAAGCTACGTCTTACGGCAACAGAGAATGCCGTCAGTTACAGGACGATGAACAGACCAGTTAACAACAGAACAATACTGTCTAACTACAATTCGAAGCAGCAAAGCCTTACAGCACCCTTGAGCCTTCCAATTTGTAAAGGTCTTGGTTTGCGCGCTGGAGTTGTGTTTGAACTAGGTCTCAGGTCGTTGACTGTTTCAGTAGCCTGTCAGGTTTGTGCCCTGTTCTCGCACTTTCTGACTGCATATTATCTTGTTGCAGTTGTAGATAGCTGTTATAATATTATAACTTGTGACCATGTGATTTCTTCTATTTTCATTATATCTACTGGTTCAGTATCCGAGTTAAATTTTCTAAACAAAAAGGCTTAACGCTTACTCTATGCCGTAGACCGTGATAGGAGCATTGTTGGTGGTGGGTTCAACCCATTCAACCTCAATGAAATCAGGTACGTTATCAAGAAGTTTAAGCTGAGCTGGAGGGTCAGGCTTCTCTGCATTGGCAAAGGCAAGGATTTAGATCACAGAGAAAAGAGGTGAGTGAGCACATTGTGGATCCACTCAATTCTTGGCCACAAACCCCCAACGCCCGCACACTGGTGAGCTACAGTATGAACGTCATCCCGATACAATATAAAAAGAACATGATGGGAGATGATGCAAAGGCCGGTGTCCGACAGATTGGGAAGGGATAAGCTGTTCTATGTATAGCAAGCAGGTTTACATCGGTATGTTGAGTACTGCCATTAGGGGACTAGGTCTATTTTGACTTGGTCCAGTGTTCTTAGATTTGTTAGGCCTCCCCGAAAGACGAGCCACCCGAACGATACAGAACATGTCCGTTGTCGTTTGTGTCTACACCGGCTCCGTCCAGTCAGGTCTCCGTAAGTCCGAACTTGTCAAGCCTGTATTGTTCCAAATCTTGTATTATTGTAATTTCCCTGATGTTGCTTTTCAAGGAACGAGCGTTGAACGTTCCTGCTCTGAGGGACGAGTCATTCTTACTGCGCTCCGTAAATATAGTTGCTTTCGGTTTATTCAAGTAATTCATCTGGTAGTAACTCGTCTGTCTGGAAACATTGTCAATGAACCAAAAGTCTCTCGCGAGAGCGAGAGCTGCCGGGAGTTCAACCCGACAACCCAAACCAAACATTGACTACCGATGCCAAAAAATGAGGAGGTCTACAGCAGAACAGCATTGTGTTGCAGCTGTACTTGCATTCACATACAGTTCAGCGGCATTTCTAACACCTTTCTATTACTTAACCTCAATTTCATTGGTTTGTATCCTTTAGTTCCATATCTTTCCCCACTGATGACGTGAATGAGAAAATCGAGTCTGGGTTTCAATATTATTGTTATAAAATACACATACACGTTGAACAAGTACCTTAGTTGCGTTTTGTCAGCGGCCTTCATCCTAATCATAACTACATAATTTTTTTATCTCCTCTTAAATTATTTACGTACAGTTCAGCACAGTTTTGTTCTTTTAAGTTCGAAGAGCACCCAAACTAAGGCAACACTGCTCAGCGTTGTACCATAGAAAAATAAAATCGTTCAATATTCCAAGATCACTGCAGAAAATTCTCCCACATTCATGTTTATAACTAATTTCTTCGGATTCACCACAACAAGTCAAATCCAGCTGTCATTCACTCAAACGACCTTCTGCAGTGTCTTACCTAAATGACACGTTGGGACTGCGGGAGACCATTGCTGGCTGTCATTGCATGTGATAAATGACTGTCCAAGCATGACATATCTTGTGTTACACGTCACAGTGTAGTTACTACCGATCATGTTGGGAAATGGCGACGGTACGAGAATGCCATTGAGAACGGTTGGTGTCGGGCAAGTTGTACCAACTGCATTGAAAACGAAAGTTCAAGCATTAATCTCACTCCAACCAGTGATCTATCAGGAGAATGCATTAATGAGATCGAAAGGGAGAACAAAATTGTAATGCGCACAGTAATGCAAGACCACTGGCATTTCACACACCATTCATATCACGGAAATCACTCAAATCAGACAAATCAAGAAAACTATGTTATTTTACTTGTAAAACGTTGACAATCATGCCTCAAACCAGTTAGAAATAATAATGAAGGCACACCGGCAAGACAATCATGGGCTGCAAAACACCAATGATTCGGGAATATTCAATTGGAACAGAGAATTCTCCCATTGAGTGCACCCCACAGACTCTTTTTTATTCTTCTAGCCGAAAATTGGAAACATTCACGTTAGCTGCGGGGAGAACCATCTGGAAATCCAAACGCGCAGCCTTGTGTATCTACACGTTGTATATGAATCACTCACTGTCAAAAAAGTTTGCTTGTGGTTCAATTTAATAAGAGTGTTATTTTTCGTCGGCTTAGCGTAGCGAATGAAACTAAAAATGTATTTTTTGCCAGCATTTCCACCATAGTAACGGCACCAGGATTGCGTTAGCTGTTTTTTTGTCAGTGTTCTCAAATTTTTCTCTTTTTATGGTCTTTCTCTTTTCGTTTAGTTTCCCACCCGCCCTCCCCTCTATTCTCACTTCTGCGTAGGTCCTGCAGGCTACGTTTTGTTCATTTAGCTTATGGGGTTATGCTAAGCGGTTTTCCGATCAGGGTTGTGCCTCCGCCGGGGTCCTAGGAGGTTTTTCTGGCTGCTTCGGGCTGGTTAATTATCCCGCGGCCCCATTCACCACAGTTAGCCCTTTCCCAAAGGTGCTCTCTTGATTCGCACTTAGTGCTTTTCGCGTCCCTCAAAATATGCTGAAAAAATGCTCTTTTCACTCACAAAGCGACTGTTCAGTACATGGGGTAGTGGTCTACCAGAGCAATCACACTCACGGGGTAGTGGTCTACCAGAGCAATCACACTCACCACCGTGGTGGTTTTCCAGAAATGAGTAGAAGCAAAAAAACACACTCGCAGCCACATAATAGATAAATAGCCGAAAAACATCTAAATCCATCAAAGAACCGCCAGCAAGCGGGAGAAAAGGTCGTGAAATCAAGTGAAACAGCATGGCGAGTGGTGAGCATGGGTGACTGGGCAGCAGGGGAGCGCCTGAAAACAATGACTCCCTACATTCCTAGCCGCGACCGCTCAACCGGGCTAGAGGAAAAACACGCCTTTCGGCCAAAAACCCTTTCTATTTCATTAATTCCTAACCCGCTGCTAGTCGGACCCAAGAATATGGATAGCAAGAAATGGTATGTAATAACCGGTGTATGTCATAATCATAAGCCACACACATAGGCATAGATTGTCAAGAAGAACAGCGGACGACTCACATGAAACCAGGGTGGGTGGGCGGGCAACTTCAACTACCACGAGGAAAAGCAAAGACCACGATGGTAGGTTCAACGGAGTTGCGCAGAACAAGAGCAAATGCACGAAAATATTTGTGAGTGAAAAATACGTTTTTTGCACTCTTTCGCTAGCTACGCTCAGCAGTGAAAAAACAAAACTTTTCACTCACAAAGCGACTGTTCAGTACATGGGGTAGTGGTCTACCAGAGCAATCACACTCACGATGCAAAGGATAGTGAGGCCAATAGGAGAGCAGCGCACATAGATTTGGACAAGGAAAACGAGCAGTGTGGCGCATGGCGCCAGTGTGCCTAAGTCTTGGGCACTGTGACCACCATCTGTGGCCAAGTGTATAGTTACTATGAACATTATGGAGACCCGGCAAGACTTGCCCTGGGGTGCTCACTAGTAGGCCAGGTTGGGTCGGGTGGCAACCGGGCGAGCACACATCAGCCAGGATAACATAATCAGCGGTGCACTCCGAGCAGACAAAATCTCTGCGAAATGCCCGAAAGTTCCCCTGCTAGGTTGCGAGTGCTACATCATGGAGTAGTACTGCCAGTAAATTCAATGTGAGGTGCTGTACTGCCGTGATTGGGCTGGATGTCCGTTCAGTTCCTGCAAGAGAAGGAATCCTGTATCGAATGCACACGTCCGCCCCTCACACACTTACTGCACACACATGCACCATTACGCACATTCACTGTACACACACACATCCTGTACACACACACACACTCACTGGACCTACACGTACTGTACACACACACATACTGTACACACACGTACTGCCCGTGCACGTACACTCCTCCGCGTGCCCAGACAAAAACGGGGTGAAAACCGTTACCGAGACATTAAAAAACCACATACCTCTATGCAACTCTCACTCTCTCTCTCTCTCTTGGTTTCAACATGTCTGTAATCATTCATAACCACATGATCGTTCATCAAGTCATACACCATCATGTGTCATCACTGACCATCGGGCTTCTCTCTCATCATGGCATCAAGCCATACACAACCATGTACCATCACTGCCCATCGGGCTTCTCCCTCATCATGGCATTAAGCCATACACAACCATGTTTCATCACTGCCCATTTGGGCTTCTCCCTCATTATGGCATCAAGCCAAACACAACCATGTGTCATCACTGCCCATCGGTCTTCTCCCTCATCATGGCACAAAGCCATACTCATCACTGCCCCATCGGGCTTCTCCCTCCCCCTCATCATGGCATCTAGCCATACACAATCATGTGCCATCACGGCCCATTGGGCTTCTCCCTCATCATGGCATCAAGCGATACACAATCTTGTGTCCTCAATGCCCATTGGGCTTCTCCGTGATTAAGGCATCAAGCCCTACGCAATCATGTGTCATCACTGCCCATCGGGCTTCTTACTCACTCCGTCATCACTCACATACACACTTAATAATGGCAAGCCGGGTTACCCATTTATACACCACACAAGGCCGTTCCCAATCGCTTGCATCATGTCCAGTCGTGGGTGATCCGGTGTCTGTTCCACGGCCTAGGTACTGGCTTAGTACTGAAAGGACAGCAAGAGGTAAACATATATAAATACTTCATTAAGATTCAACACCGAAAACATAAGGAAGTCATGCACAAGAGAGATCAAGATACGTAAAGCTTTAACCAGTTGACTTGGCCTGGTAGCTGACTGGGGTGTCTCGCACACCTTACACAGTGGTGGCTTAACTTCTATGAATTTGTTTGGCGTCACATCAGTGGAGTTGTGTAGTGTGCCATCATGTTACCTCACCTCGCACATTGCAGACTGCAGCGACCGAGTGAGGACTACGCGCTACCTGCCGCTTTAGTTATCGCTCCGTCTGGAACGTACACTTATATTGAGCGTGTTTGGGAACCCTAGTCTTACTCTCTGGACGAAGGACACCTGGACAGTACTGCTTCCCACCCCTGGTCAACATCGCATGCCCCCCTGAGGTTGCTGTCCCATTATCTGTTGTGTTGCTGTCGCTTGCTGCAATAGCCCATGACTATTGTCGTACTTGTTTGCACTCATACAATTCCAGGCTGTACTTTGGAACTGTTTCCATTGCCCATGTACTCCTTATTCTTTGCTTGCTTTTATGCTGAGAGAACATATGCTGGCTCCCTGTACTGCTTAGCCGCGTACTCATTCGGTAGAAATGTGTGAATAATACTACTACTTCCTCCGTTAACAAAAACTTCGTGAGGGATTTTGATGGATATGAAAACGCTTAGAACAGATCAAGAACAGTTTGTATCGACTGCAAATCACTGGACGAGGGTGATTCAGCCTATGTACAGCGTCTTTACAAGAGAAACTGTTGGCGGAATGAGCAGAGAGTTCAGTTTGCGTCGCTTTAGCTCGATTCAATTTTGACCTGCGTCGCTGTCGTCATCTGCTGCACGCGAGTCATCATCTGCTGTACGCGAGTCGTCATCTCTCTCGAGTCGTTGTTCAGCTCGTTTCAGCCTTGCCTCGGCTTCTTTGATCACACTCCGCTGACCTTGATGTCGCCGTCGTTCAAGTAAGTTGGCTTTCAAGCTGCGTGATTCGCCGCAATGGCGATTACTTGTTTCCACCAGGGAGTCGTGAAAAATATGTTACGACTCCTTGGTTTCATCTTCGCTGTCCGAACTCCGCGAAACGAGGAGTAAAGGCACAGCCAAACTGATTCCATTTTCTCTATTGGATTCCCCTGCCAGCACAGAACGGCAGCGGCTAGCAAGTCCAGTCGACTTTCTTTAGCCATGAGACTCGCATCGGACAGCGGACTTCTGAAAGAATGCATGGTCATGAGCATTCGAATCTGGACTTTGCGCAGGTTGAACAAGATCTTGAGTTCAGAATTATTTTCATTGAGCTGTGCGATCGGAGCAGCTCCTTGTTCACTCCCTCATTGTGTGGGCTCGCTGCTCCGTTTCATCGCTCTCTATCACTCTCCAACTTACTCAGTGCTAAAGTGACAGAGAAGCCAAGCAACGCAATATCCCCTTCGGAGAAGTGGTATTTCAGTTTCGCTCGCCATGACTGTCATCACCTATGTTTCCACAGCGCAACCATCGATTCGACTCGGCTTGTTGTAAAAGGTCACTTTCCTTGCATCGTACCTCTGTCGTGGCATGCCAGGGAAGGCCAAGAAAGTGATTGCGACTCATTTCACGGCAGTTTGTGCCCAAATCAGCCCCTCAAAATTCCATCACGAAGTTTTTGTTAACAGAGGAAGTAATAATCTGACGTGAGTGAGGTGGATGGGCACCTCAGGAACACAAGTTTGAAGTCAGCAAGCAGTCAACTTTTGCGTGAATTTCTTCCGGAACCATGTCTGGTGGGCCCCACCCGTGAAAAAACAAACAAACATTTGTCTCGTCCTGCCGGCCAATTGTCCCCCCTTGTGTGTCCGATGGCTGCGAACGTCGAAATCTGTTACACCCCGATTACACCTGGCCGGAAATCTACTAGCATTTTGCACGATGTTTGACTTTGACAACATTTACTGCCATGCCATTGTTGCCCGATTTTTGTACTCAGACTGACAAACTTACTACTCTTGTTGTTCATGGTTGCCTCTACAAACACGATACAGTCATGTACATTGCTCTGCACATCCATAACATTCTGTGTAGGGCCTAGGGCGGTACGGGTTGGGCGTTTGTTTGCTCCCTTGAATACGACGGCATGTACACCCCTTTCGATCGTGTCAACTACATGATTATGTACTTCGTAAATTATCGAAAAAACATCCACAGTCTCAAGTACTGATACTTATCTTTTCTCTCCGGTCCATGTGCGGTCCGAAAACTGGCTGGCTGTCCCAGTGAACTCCGGTTGGTGTTGTCAACAGACAGCTACGATCTTGCTGCCCTTCGCCACGATATCAGACAACTACTTCAGTATGACTGCGGTGTCACCTGTGCCAGGAGCTTCGCCACCATTTGGGACACGATGTTGTGATCGACAGCGCTCATCACCATCTCCGTAGACTCTCGATCTCATCACTGCGCCCACGGAAAACTCTCAAGGACTCGCTGAAGCCTTTGAGGAGTATGGTTGCGGTACCGGTAGGTGTCGACTCGACATGTCGGAACTGAGTGACCAATTGTTTTGTCAACTAAATTTTACTTCCGCAATCTTGCTGGTCGTCCGAAACGCCCTGATTTGTGTAGCTGTTGACGGTGACTCTGCTCCGCCTGGTACCAAACTTGCTGGTGTGTGGCGGATTACGCTCAGCTCGTTTTAGCTGTTTCCGCCTTTCGCAGATCGATCTGCAGCTCCCAAAAACGTCAGGTTACTGGTACATCAGCTTGCAGGCCCAATCAGGCGATGTGGACCTTTTGTAGGCTGGACCGATTCATTATAGACGATGCACGGCACTGTCGTTTCTTTCTCCTGGACTATTACACTGTAGATCTACTCTGAAAAAATAATAAGATGAGTTGTGGTGTTGTGTGGCTGCGAGTGGAAACTAAAAACTGGAGCACTTGAAAACTTCAACTACCACGAGGAAAAACAAAGACCACGATGGCAGGTTCAACGGAGTTGCGCAGAACAAGAGCAAATGCACGAAAATATTTGTGAGTAAAAATACGTTTTTTGCACTCTTTCGCTACGCTCAGCCGTGAAAAAACAAAACATTTTTCAGTGAAAACAGGCAAAAAGTGCTCTTTTTTCATTGAAGCATAGCCATGATACATGTTCAGATATGAACCAAAGTTGATAAATGAATACGCACTTTTCCCTTTATGGGTCCACGAAAGGCCAAAACAGGAAGTTAGTTCAAAAAACCCACTTTTTACATCATTGTGTACAAGCTTCACTAACTAACACTTGTTGTCCCCCCAAAAAAGCGGCGTGCCAAGGCCCATCGAGCACTCGGAAACTGTGATCGCATGCAAGAGCAAACAGATCTTAGCACTTTATCAGCTAAAAAAGCTCAAAATGGGCGATAATCACCAAAAAACGCTATAAAGGGCGAAAGAAACTGGGCTTTCCCAAAAGGTCCAAAAAGGGCGAAAAAAGGGCTAGCACCTTTGGGAAAGGGCTAACCACAGTAGTTCACTTTTTGAATCATGTTGGTCTGGTACATACGTGTACATGTATATGTGTGAGGTGGCCTGCCCTTCTTCTTGCTCATGTATACTCTACGCTAAGCTCTTCCATCTTCTACCGTGAGTGAACAAAGACCACACTACTACTGTGATCCGTATCTTTCTGTTTTGTGTAGGTGTGTCTGCGGTTTACGCAGAGGCCAGCTAGCTGGCAAAAATGCACATGTATGCTGTTTGCCCCTTTCCCTGTGTAAACCAACCCACGTTAGAGAAAACTACATAACAGAACGACTCACGAATTGTTGTGGATGGTGACTTGCAATGTTTGATGCTGTCACCAGGACTCAAGCCATAAGCAAATAGGGAGTAGGTAGCATTTGTATCGATGGATGTGATATCCAGAGTGCCAGTGATGTTGTTCGTGCAGATTGTCTTTGTTACTCCGAGTGACGAAACACCTGCTAGGTGAGTGCGGGAGTAGTTTACACACCATTTGCTTATGCTGCTGATGTCGCTCAATGAGACATTAGCTCTGACTCTGGTTCTGGTTATATGCGAAATGGAGATACTAACTTGGATTAGATCTGCAGGGCAGAAAGGAAAACATGTCAATAGAGATTTTTACGTTTCACTTCTATTTGTTTGTCAATCTAGAATGTGAAATATCACTTCCAAGATTGAGGTCAACAATTTTGAAAGTGCGTTTTCAATGCAAAAGAGGGCAAATTGTGAAGGAAATTATGAATGGCGTGTGTTTACCGCCATATTGCAAGGTGTGTCTTTACCACCATATTTATTAACCATAAGTACAGCTGCAGTGGTGTCTTCAACTTCATTCTCCCAAACTATGAATCTATTAAATAAATTTCAACCAAGGAATCTAGACTACATTTTTACAACTCGATGAATTTGCTTCGGTATTGGAAGCAAATTACCCTCGTTGATTGTTGTTTATAGTTAGCTTTTGCAGTTACTTCTATTTGGAGACTGCAATCACATGTATTGCTCTCATGCTATGTGGGACTCGCTTGTGAACCTTGCTTAGCCGCTTATCCTTCCAATGCTTCTGAAATTGTCGCTATGATGGCCACCATCGTCCAACTGCCTAAGCTCGACTGTAGCAACAAAGACAGCACCTAATTGACCAACCATGTGGTACGCTCTATGGATAAGTAACATTATCAGTACTGCGCTACTCCCTAGTCATCTCCACAACGAGATGTAAACGTATTAGTGACAATTGCAATAATTGATCGTTATCACTGGGAAGTGGCCATCGGCAGAAAATAAAGAAACGACGGACCTTTGGCTAAAGATTTTCGTAATTTTCTTTAGGTCTGGATCAGTTACCGAGGCTTTGTAAAATTTTCGTTTCACTCGGCATGTCCACATTTGTTGTTTGTTGTTTGTTGTTGTCGTCGTCGTCGTCGTCGTCGTCGTCGTCGTCGTCGTCGTCGTCGTCGTCGTCGTCGTCGTCGTCTTCGTCGTCGTCGTCGTCGTCGTCGTCGTCGTCGTCGTCGTCGTCGTCGTCGTCGTCGTCGTCGTCGTAGTCGTCGTCGTCGTCGTCGTCGTCGTCGTCGTCGTCGTCGTCGTCGTCGTCGTCGTCGTCGTCGTCGTCGTCGTCGTCGTTGTTGTGTTTATTTTAATTCGCAAACCAAACGGGCTGATCTGCCCAATGAAAAGGTGGCGAATGCAGATAGAAAGCAGTAATAAATGAAGTTGGGGAGGGATGTAATATGGATAGAGGTGGAGAAAAACTAAGCCAGCTGATCATCAAAGAGGACGTTTGGCACTCTAGGTACTAAGGGTGTGTGGGATCATGCTGGCGCGGAACTGGTGGAGCGTGGAGATGGCACGTACACCGCTGGGTAAGGCCGATTCCACACTACGCCGAAAGTGGCTTTGCCTTGAAGGCATGAAGTGGCTTAGGCCGCGGTCACACCGAGCTCGATTCAGCCGTTCAGCCGAAACAAGCGCTTGTTTACGTCACTATTACCATGGAAATGGCTGAAAAATGTCCTACAAGCGACTTTCAGCCGTGGCTGACTCTCAGCCGTTTTTTTCCGGCTTGTTTCAGCCACAGCTTGTACAAGCGGCTGAAAGCCGAAATTCAAAAAATAATTTGAGTGCGCTTGGAGCTCCGGAGCACACCATGTAGCTAGTTGACATGATGAACTGATATTGATGTTCTTTCTTGTGTCCGTGGAACCGTGCTATCCCTGTGCCTTTGGTTTTGACCGTGTGTCTGTCTACCCCAACTACACTGTATTCAGTTTGATTTGGATTTCGTCCGACGACCATGGATTTCTGCCGCTGTGCCCCTAGACTGCTGCGTAGATTGTCGGAGCTGTGGTTTGAGGCCAAGAAAAGGCACCACACTCACGACCGAATTCATGAAGAAAGCCGGGTACGAAGAAGAGAGTGGATTGCAACTGAGTTCAATAACGGCAACCGGTGGGGCAGAAAGCTCGACATCAGGAAACACCACCCGAACCATCGCGTCCATGCACACCGAACAAATATAAAGAGCACGACTTCGCAATTCAGAATCCGGGCTTCCTTTGCTTCTTCATCAAAACTGAACACTAGAACAAGTACAGTTTTAGATCGCGAACGTTCTGCTCTCCAGTTTCTTGCAAACATTGGTGTGTTTCGAGATATTCAAAATTTGGCGGGTAAGAAAAACAAGCCATTCAAGCTTTGCACTCAAGGTCTGGTGTGACCGCGTCACAGGGATCACGCAAGCCAGCTGAGCGCCAGCGATAACAAGCCCAAAGTAGCTTGTTTCGGTGTGACCGGGGCCTTATAAAGTGAAGCTGCATTCACACCTGCAAGTGTCGATCACGGGACTTTGCTTTGAAGGTTATAGTTACCCTGGTAACAGAATGGAAGATCACTTTTCCGGCTTGTGTACGAAATAAATAATTCAAAAGCATCTTGTCGAAACTAGTATTTGAAGAAGAAGAAAATAATGTTGTTCACGTAGATCTACTGCTTGTAGATGTAGTTGAGTTTTGTCTCAGTATGAGTGGTCCAGTCCGATCGGCCTCTGGTCGCCGGCGTCGTCGTTTGTACGAGCTAGCTATCGGGTATACGTCCGACATTGATATTCTCCAGACACAACCAAATTATTTTTTTCCTCGGCAGTCCATGGAAATGACAAACAATGTTTTGTTTGATTGCCTCGAGCCTGCATCTGCGTCCTCTTTCTTTGTCGTTCTTCTATTCATGATGTTGAATGAAAACATTTCTGTTGAGCGACGACTGTGGACAGCTCATCCGGAAAATGAACTTGGTTTGGCGGCAGGATTTTGGGAGAAGGAAGTGCTTGGCACCTGGGAGAACACAAAACAGAAGTCCAAGAGATGGTGGAAGGCAGCATGGATTGCGAACTTCAGGATGGAGCAGCGGACATTCTGTTTTATTCTACAGCGATACGGCCATTTGTTTGAGAGGCAATCCACTCACCTGCGCCGCACTATTCCCAGTACCAAACGTCTGGCCATTGCCCTCTACTACTTGTGCCACTCCGAAACGTATAATGAATTGGCTGCATTGTTCCATGTGGGTGTCAGTACTGCTTCGTGCATTGTGCATGATGTTGTGGAAGCTCTTGTTGGAGAGGTCACCAGAGATAGCATATCGTTTCCTCAAGGAAATCAGCTGTCGAAAGTGATGCGCGGATTTGAGCAATTGTCAAATTTACCAATGTGTGGAGGTGCGGTTGATGTTACCTTTGTGAGAATCGTGAAGCCACAGATTCATGGTGACACTTACTGGTGTTATAAGCAGCACTCTGCCATTATCGTTTTTGCCTGTGTCGACCATCAAGGATGCTTTACATTTGTTGATGTCGGAACTCCCGGTAAACTCGGAGATGCGGCTGTGTACAACAAGAGTGAGCTGAAGACCAAAGTGGAGCAGGGCATCTGGCTGAACAGAGCTGTTTGGAGAGCTGGCAACAAATACATTCGACCATTTTTGATCGGTGATAGTGCTTTCACCTTGAGCCCGTATCTCATGAAAATTCATGCCGGGGACAACTTGACTCCGCAGCAATCAAGTTTCAACTTTGCACAAATCCGGGCGCGCCGTATTGTCGAGTGTGCATTTGGTCGCCTCAAGGGACGGTTCACAGTTGTGTCACATTCCAACTCCAATGACCCAACTTTCATGAGCAAAGCTGTTCTCCTATGCTGCAGTCTCCATAACATCATCGAGCGCAGAAAGAGAGGTTACCTGCCTATTGTCCAGGACTATGCACCTCATCCCCTAGTTCCCATGCAGCACTCTCCAGCTGGGCAAATGCGGGATGCCCTTGGCACCTATCTCCGTAATTTAAACTGAATATCAACCACTACGTTGGCCAAAGAGCTATGGGCTTTGGTATTCATATCTCCTTTCCTCCAACAATGTCTAGCTCACAATCCGTCTTGGTAGCCTGTGTAGTGTGAACTCTATCTCTGAACATTGAATTGCCTGTGTCTCCGGGCTTCTCCTTCCTACTTTCACTAGCGTGATAGTAGTATTGACCTAATGTGTGTACGTGTACACCAAACCACATCCCGCTTGCCGTGCCATTTACTCATGAATTCCTGCACCGCAACACTTGCACTCTGCGTATCATTAACCCTTCCCCTTCTATGGCACAGACCCTACACTGCATGCGGTACTTGGATGCGTGTACTGAGACTACACAAGAGAGAGATTGGAAGCTTTGTTACAACTCTGAGTTTCACGTATTACTACAATCATCAGGCAACTGATGGCTCCAACACGGGCAGCCAGAACATAAGGGGGAGCAAGGTGGGAAATTCTGAGGGGTATCATACGCGACGCGTATCATAGCGCAAGAGTCAGGTGCAGGCGTGAAGTTGCCAAGTTTTCAGACTTGGGGCTATGCAGCAGCAGCAGTTCCAGCGTGAATGATATAGAATAGAGCTGGAGACTTATCAAATCACCCACACGCACTCTCTTTGTCATGCATGCACACACACACACACGCATGCGCGCACACGCACACCATTTGACATTCCTGGTGTACTGAGACTAGCAATACACCGGACGTTGAAAGCATAGTACTACGGGATAGAACACGTCACACGTAAAAACAATAGAGTGGCTATAGTACACTGGAAAACAGAGGATAGTTATCCAAACAGTCCAGAGTAGTGTCGCAGAGAACATAACGGGAAAATTAGAAGCACTGCATCCAAAACACGAACACAGGAGAGAAATTGAAAAAAACACTGTGTCTACATGAAAAAAATTGTGCCAGAAACAGAAGAGTATTGGGACTGGCGACACTGTCCCTCTAGTCCCGTTCAATCATTCTTTTTGTCACGCGACATCATATCTCCAAAGAGCTTGGCTTGGAAAGCCATTTGGCTCTGAATAAGGGCTTGCGTGGTCCTCTGCTGCTGTTCGCTTTGGTTCTGCACCAGGGTATGCATAGCTTCCTGCTGCTGTTGAATTATCGCAGCTGTAAACTCCTGCTGGTTTCCCTGAAGGTCTCTTTGCGTTTCACCAAAGGCCTGGACCATTAGCAACCCTGTTTCCTGGAGGCCCTGTGTGCTCTGGTTCC